GGGATGCTAATGTAGGGGCCTGAATAATAAGAACAGGGTTTTGGGGAATAGGGTTTGGGGTTTAGGGCTTAGGGTTTAGGATTATAATAAGACTATAATAACAATAATAACAATAATAATAAAAAGGAACTCCAAAGTAATATAGGTATTTGTTGAGGCCCCTTTTTTTTAGCCCTGAGAAGCTCAAAGGAGTTGGCATCGCCTTGCTGTCCTTCGCCCGCGTGGAGGAATGGCAAAGCAACCGTGTCAGTGGCACTAATGTACTTGGAGGGTCATGGGACTTAGTAAGTAAGGGTTTAGGGTTTAGGGTTTAGGGCTTAGGGTTCAGGGTTTAGGGTTTAGGGTAGTACTTGGAGGATCATGGGACTTAGTAAGTAAGATTATAAGTCCCGTAATTGGGGTTATAAGTATAGTTACCTTAGTCATAACCCTACTTACTAAGTCCCATGATCCTTTAAGTAGGGGCCTTAAGAATTAGAATTGGGTTTGGGGGGTATACTATAGTATAATCATGATAAGGAACTCCCAAAACCCGATTCTAATTGTTAAGGCCCCTACATTAGAGGAGTTGACGATCTCATCCACAACGTTCGATATGTTTCGATTGAAAACTTCCACATCCACGGTGTGAGGCAAGTTTTGTCTGGTTGTACTGCTACTACATGCAAGGCGCACCAACCTCATGCGGGCATCTCATATTTCGCAAGCACGCTGCATCTAAATGTCTTTTTCGGGCCCTCACCTGTTCGTATTCTCGCAGCCACACACCGTCCCCCGAGTCAACGATATGCAGTGCCTATGCAGTCTGCAAGATCTATCTACGGGGATTGTATCGGGGCTATAACGCCCGAAAAAAGTTAAAGGCTACCTACTCTACTACTACGGGTTTCGGGCGCAGCCACGTGTAACGTCCGGCTAGTACATCAGGGGGTCGCGTCGGCATTTCAGGCAATGAGGAAACATCATGCCGCCTCATAGGGTTTAGGGTGTTAGGATATAGGGTTTAGGGCTTTTGGGTCTTAGGGTTTTAGGGTTTTAGGGCTTTAGGGTTTTAGGGTTTAGGGTTAACCCTAAAACCGAAACCAAAGCTCGTACGCCCTCAACAACCTCCCAACAAGGGATCTCCCCAGCGGCCTCTGAAATCGGTCGAAAGCCGGAGGTACCAACAGCAAGTCCACCTTGCAGGGTTTAGGGTTTCGGGGTTAGGGCTTTAGAGTTTCGGGTCTACTTTGTTAAAGGAATCAGGGTTTAGGGTCTAGGGCTTTGGAAGGTTCACGAAGGGCCTGAAGTGGTCAGAACTAGGGCAACTCTCGCTATTACACTTTGAGACCTAGGCCATAGACTCTGAGTTTTGAAGAAGCAGCGTTGTCCAATTTGGACACTTTGACCCCTAGACCGTTCGAAACCAAGACTAAACCCTAAACCCTACGTGAGTCTTGGGAGCCTTCAAACAAAGTATCTCAGCCATGGGATGCGTGGACATCATACTTTAAGGAGGCAGGTTCACGGTTTACGGTTTGGGATTCGGGGTCTAGGGTGTAAGGGTTTTAGGGTTTACCTTAAGAACCCAAAACCCACTTTTTGTAGGTTCTTATTATAAACCCTAATATGGGATTTATAGGGACCCTACAAAAAAGTAGGTTTTGGGTTCTTAGGGTTTAGGGTGCAAATGCTTAGCATTGGGTGACTTTCGGAGAAGCCCTGGGTTTAGGGTTTAGGGTTTAGGGTTTAGCCGCAATTCTTGTAAACTCAAGAACCCGTTATAAACCCTCAACCTTCCATAAACCTCCGCACCCCAAACCCTAAACCCTCTAAACCCCACAACCCTCAAACCCTAAACCCCAAGATAGGGCCCCAAACAAGCACATAAGCAAAAATTAGGATATGGATCTCCCATATAAATCCCCTTACAATGAAGCCCAATAAGGTAGGGATATCCCTATAAAGTGCTTCTGCTTATGTCTTTTTTGGGTTCCCTAAACCCTAAACCCTAAACCCTAAACCCTAAACCCTAAACCCTAAGAAGGGCCTTCGGCACCGGCGCCGGGAGCGGCAAGGTCTCCGCTGGAGCCGACAGGCAGATCTCCAGGAAGTCGGGAAGCTCCTTCTTAGTTGCTGAGTTCATAAGCCCAAGATAGGGCCACTTTCAGTTCTATAAGGGATTATATAATCCCAAAAAGTGTAAAGTGTACTCCCCAAAGGCTCCATGTACCTTTATAGTAGATACTTAGGCCTTAAAGGGGTCCCTATATAGGTACTTTAAGGCCAAAGTATCTACTATAAAGGTACATGGAGCCTTTGGGTTCTCTGGCCTACAGCGTTTCGGAAGTTTCGAGGTTTAGGGTTTAGGGTTGGGGGTTTAGGGTTTAGGGTTTAGGGTTTAGGGTTTAGGGTTTAGGGTTTGGGGTTTAGGGTTTAGGGTTTCGGGTTTGGGGTTCAGGGTTTGGGGTTTAGGGTTTAGGGTTTAGGGTTTAGGGTTTGGGGGTTTAGGGGTTTAGGTTTCAGGGTTCAGGGTTTAGGGGTTTGGGGTTTAGGGTTTACGGGTTCAGGGT